CCCCTCCGATATTTTCCCCAGATTTTTTTTCTCTGTTCACACGTTAACTCTATACAGCATAAAACAAAAATAATGATCCTATTCTTTGATGCAGTTTCATGTACTCAAAATACATTCTTGTTTTTTCGCTTCACAACGACAGACAAGCAGACAAAAACAACACACAGACATAAACGTTGGCACAACAAGAGAAAAATGTCTGTCAAAACAAAGCGAGCTTCGAACAAACCATGCAAACAGGACTAAATGGACTCTGAAGGCGTATGATTAGCGGGGGTAATTACCCCTGAGGTACGTCTGCAGGGCTCATTAAGCCTCCGAACGCTTGGAAAAAGAGTTGGCTTTGGAAATGTAATCGCTCCAATTGTCTGGCGCGGATAAAAATAACAAAAAGGACGGGGAGAAAAATGCTGGTGCTTCCGAGAGCGGAGATGTCAAGTGGTCCAAAATGGGATCGATGAATAAGAAAAAAAAAAGTTCTGATGTAAAACTTGACATTTTTAGAGACATCGAGAAAATGTTTTCAAATTTTTCATTTTAATTCATTTTAACTGGTCAAGAGAAAAAAAAACATAAGAGTGAAGTTACCATTTTAAGAGAAATTTTATCACATCATTACATTCAAAAACAGTTACAAACTAAATCATACTGACATGAACAAAAACAGAATTTTATGGGAAAAAAAACATTTACGTAAAAAAATTTATATCACAAGAAAGCAATTAATTGTTCTAATTTTTAAAATAAAAAGTCTCAAAAAAGGTTTTAAATTGAAGACAAAATAGAGAAAAATACACTTTTGAATGTATTATTTTTTAAAATTAATATTGTGTTATCAGGAAGTGTAATATTATAACAAAGAATAACAATTTGATAAGAGGAAAAAAAGTATTTTTGAGAAAAGTCAATCTTACAAGAATAAAGTCATATTTTGGGGAGAAAGAAGCCAATTTTAGGAGGAAGAGGAAGAGGGCATTTTGTTTTACACCGCGCTATTATTATTTACAAAGAAAAAGAATGAAAAAAAATGGTGGCCTTGTCAAAAAAAAAAAAAAGGGGGGGGGGGAATTTCACAAGAGCAAAGTTGTAAAAATGCATCACGACATCATCGGTCAAGAAACCGTCACCCGCACGAGAAAAAAAAAACTTCTCTAGAGTCAATGTCAAACCCTTCCAACTATCCCATCGGCTTTCTGCGCAGACGACCGGCCGCGAAACCCTGGCGAATGTATTGAAAGTGAATCGTTTCCTCAGCAGGTGTATCCGTGCAGCAATGACAAGGAGTGCAGTGTCGGAAGTTACTGCCACAGCCCCCAGCAGGCGCCCTCGCGCTGCCTCGCTTGCCGCAGGAGGAAGAAGCGCTGCCACCGGGATGCCATGTGTTGCCCCGGCAACCGCTGCCACAACTGTAAGTCACACTAGCGCTGCACTATTTATGAAAATTTAACCGTGATTTCAATTTTTGGGTTTCCCCGATCTTTAAAACAGGCATTGTCAAAGGCACCATGTTACTGGAATAACAAGCGTGTCGCGTACGTGATTCTGTCGTGCCTAAGCGTGCTTTAATCAGTTTAATGATAACCCAGTTGGAGTTTACAGCCATCTAAACACACAGCCAAAAATATTACTCACACTGTATAATTAAACACAAAATATGCTTCGTTTTTTTTTTTTTGTTTTTTTTTAAAACCATTGCTGCAGCGAATGCTAAACTCAATGTGAAATCCCATTGACATGCTAACGCAAAATTAGCATCAACTTCAGGAGTGATATTGCATATTACAGTAGCATGTCCTAATTTTACTTTCCTGCTACTTTAATTTCTCATTGTCCTTTTCAAGTATATATTTAAAGTTGAGTTGTCAAAGATTCCTTAAAATTCAAGAATACAAAGATCCAAAGACTTTTTTTTTTTTTTATATCAACACACATTGGAATTCACAGCCGGTAATTATACTTTATACAAATGACTGAAAGGGATCGCGGTTTGCGGAATGCTAAACTCCTCATCTTGGCAATTTTTCAGATATTTGCACGGCGATCTCTGAGAGCGTGATCTCACCTCACATCTCCGCCTTGGACGAACACTACAAGCTCTCTGCCAAAGACCACAGTTGGAGAAAAAGCGCCAGGAAAACTCAAGCCAAGCATTCTCTTAAAGGTAGGACGACACCCTTGAAATTTTTCACACTTTTTGGGTCCAGGGACTCCTTACGAGTTTGATTTCCCCGCCCCAACCTCCCCAAAGACCCCTTTCAGAACCCTAAACCAACAACATAGCTGCAAACACAGAGGAGAAGTCGGTATTGCCATTTTAGCCATTCATTGTGGTTCCGAAAGAAGCTTTGAGGATGAGCTGCGCCCACAAAACATAAGCAAATGATTTATGTGACATACTGTCACAATCAGACCCAAATTCTTATTTGAGTGACAAAATCATCCTATTCAAATTAGATTGTGTGAAAAGAAAACAGGGTGATGATGGCTCATGGTACTTTCTGCTGCCAAGCAAAGCCGCAAACGATGTCGACAACAGCCTCGCTCCTCATATTTACGCCTAAAGTATAATTTGCATACTCGAAACCATAGCTATCCCGCTTTCCTTTGCCCTCTTGCGGTTTGCGCAGAGTTGGAGCTCCTGACAAAATTCATGCAGATAAAAAAACAAAACAAAACAAAACAAAACAGTACGACGCCAAAGAATTTGAGTTTCGCAGAATCCAAGCGTCTGTCCGCGTTGCAATGACAAACTTTCATGCACCCTGTAACCTGATAACCTGATAAGCTGTCCACTGTAGTGACCGCTGTCCCTAAAAGGGTTAATTGACCGCAAGCATTAGCTGAGTTATCAGTGCTAGTAAAAAAACAACAACAAATTCAGCACAATTCTGACTCCTATTTTTCGATTTTTTTTAATCATTATTTTGTATGCTGCAATGTCAGAGATAAATATACACGAGGGATCCATCCAAGGTCATTTTTTTTTAGACTATGTAAAGAAAAAAATGGAAAAACAGCCATCAGCTTGCAAAACAGTTTGACATTGTCAAAGTATGAGTTGAATTTGTGCAAGAAATAAAACTGGGATTGGACAGGTTGCACTTCTACCGCAGTGACTGCAGTCACTGAATCATCTCGTGATCACTCACTCACACTTGATAACATTTCTATAGACCACAATGCCGACAATAACCTTGGGCAATGAGTCACATGCCGCTAAAATCAACTACGGGCTTGTACAGATTTGGGTATTTACATGGAAAACGCGTCTCTACTTACAAATTTTTCGAATTAAGAAATTCCTTCCAGAACCAATTCATTTCGTAAGTAGAGCTACCACTGTATTAAAATATTGACATTAACGAATATGAAGTCCATTTGTTCCAATACTTCTCGCCTAAAAATCATTTGATGCTCCGTAACAACTAATGCTATGAAAAGCAGGAAGCATAAAAACTGATTTAGTCTACAGCAAAAATCAAGCAATCCGCCTCATTGTTCCTGTACCCATAATAGCTTTGCCAACATCCGTCCGTCTTCTCTCACCGCTCATATAATTTGGTTCCGAGCAGCGAACGCTGCGAGGCTCCTTAATGTGTTTTGTAGAAATGGAAAGAAAACAACACACTTTTTCTCACCACATGAAAAAGAATCTCGACAAAGTTGAGGTTTGCATGTTGACTTGGCCCTCGGCAAGCGTTCCAGTTCCTCATGTGGCTCCTTTGTAAAATTAAATTGCCTACCCCTCATTTAGAGTCTTCGGTGAACCTAACATGTTTTTGGAAAGTGGAAGGAAATCTGCAACCTCGACCCAGGAACTTTTGAATACAAGGCAGATGTTCTAACCACTAAACTACCACGCTGCCCTTTTTCAGGACATCATACCGGTGCGCCGTGAACACAATCTCATGTTTTCGTTCAGGTCACGAGGGCGACCCGTGCTTGCGTACGTCCGACTGCTCTGAGGGCTACTGCTGCGCCCGCCACTTCTGGACCAAAATCTGCAAGCCGGTGCTGCGACTGGGTGAGGTGTGCAGCAAGCAGAGGAAAAAAGGCTCGCACAGCCTGGAGATCTTTCAGCGCTGCGACTGCGCCAAAGGCCTCTCGTGTAAGGTGTGGAAAGATGCCACCTCGTCGTCCAAGTCCAGACTACACATGTGCCAGAAGATTTGAAGGAGGAGGAGACGGCGGATGCGACGCCGTCAAGCGGGCAATCCGATCAGCCTGGGGAACGTAGTGTTTTGGGGTTTTTTTTCGTAGAGGGATGGAGTAAAAGGACACCACTGCGTGGGTGTTATTTTGCGTTGATGCCATTCAGGGATGGAGGGACTCCAGGTGGAGACATTCACGCAGAAGCTGCATTATTATTGTTAATATGAACCGCCCAGCGCATTCCTTAACACGCTGCAAAGTCCATTTGCTTCGAAAGTCCTCCTGGTATTACCACGCGAGAGCTTTTCCAATGATGACAAATATGTAAAAGCCGTATGCCCGTCGCTAAGGGTTAGCAACTGCAAACTGCTTTTAGCCCAACGGAATAGCAATGATGTCATGTAGGCAACATATGAAAAAGTCTTCTTCTCCCCGTTTATACTCGTCTTTTCTTCCTCTTTTCCTCCATCTTCTATGATTTCAATCTTCATCCTTCTCCATTTGTGTGCCATTGTGGAAAACCGGACGACAGATTGTCACTCTTACCTCAACGCAGATGCTAAATACAATAGTTAGAATAATAAATGGGGAGCACATTTCCTGTCGAGTTAGGTCTGACAGCTGGTTTTAACAAATTTTGGGGCGCGGAATCCAAAACTGATCGCAGTTTTTCTTTATCACGTCAATTTCTTTTTTGGCAATAGATCACCGTTTTCTTTAAAAAGTGTATGAAATCACTCTGGATGTATGTAAATAAAACCCAAAGATGAAATAGATTTTACAGATCTGTGCTATGCGGACAACCACAATTCCAGCGTTTGGCCAACACGACAACAGTACGAACCGTGATCAGGGTTTATCCGTTTCAACTATAAACCTTGGCATGACTAAATTAAACACACATGCTAACGTTAGCCTACCCTGTTGCTATGCCTTAGCTTTGGACACTGCGGTATTCCATACCGCAGTCTCCACTCCACTACAGAGCTCTCATTTCCCTGCCACCCTCAGTCTCCTCTCAGATGTATTCCAAGAAGTAAACACAGGAATGACAACAAATAAAAAACACATGCTAATGTTAGCGTAACTCCTTAGCTTTGGAACCAGAAGAATTAAAACCACTTACTGCTGTCTCCTACTCCGCCGCAGTTTCTGCTCCACTATTTCCTTGCCCCCCACGGTTAATGTTCGTCGAGACAAGCTGTGATGATACTGTCCTAGCCACCCAGTGTGTGCATGGTGTCTGTGGATTACTATTAGATGCTACCATACGCTGACCATCATCTTTGTCCTCCATTTATTTCCGCGCAACAACAGCAAATATATTTTTGAAGGACTTCTCAAATGTGGAGACGCCACCCAAAAAAAAGTCATCTATTTGCCTCGAGCATTCCATCTACTGTTTGACTTCAATTGTAAATGTTCATGTAATCTGACTGGGGTGTCTACTTCTCCAGTTTTGCTTTTCTGCTTCTTGAAGATATACGACGGATAATGTTTTTTAGCAAGCGGGGGTCAAACGATGCCGCATCATTGATCAGAATGACTGCAAAAGTGCGTGTCACTGTATCAGCCGTGTCTAGTTTTGAAAGCAGTTGTGCCCGTATTATGTCATCGCCCATAGTAACCATTTCAAAATACAGATAGGATCTTATATTGTAAATAGAACGGAGGTGACAATGACATATTTAAGAAACAGTGTATATCATGTACATATAATGAGATTTAATGCCTAAATAGTGCAGCCAGATAATCTAGGTGAGCAGAGTGAAGGGACCAAATGTTTGGTGCCATACAGTAGTGGACATCCTTGACCGAATATGCATCAGAAAGTTACTGCGACACAAGTACATTGTGTAAATGGTATGTATATGATGTTAAGATTTATATCCAGCGAAATATTGGTTTTTATGTGAATAATTGCCATTGATTTGTTTTGCATATTTACAACGATGAACAAATTAAAGAATGTATTTTGTATTAACAGACCGAGTATTATTTTGCACTACAGTGAACACTACTGTCAACACTACCAAGCTCAAATGAATTAGTAGTCGCAGTTGGAGGAGAATGAAAGGAGACTGTATTTGTTAGACCATGTTCCAAACCAACACATTTCACCCTTTCAGGGACAACTGTTACTACAGTGGACAGCTTATGTTATCAGGTCACAGGGTGCATGAAAGCCTTAATACATGTTTCAAGGGTACAAACTGCACTTAAAAAAGGCTTATTGTGTTTGAGAGTTCTTTCTAATTTGACGGTTTGACTCAAAACAATACAGACAGTCCCAGTCAACACCTCCAAGGACATGCAGTAAATATAATTTAAAAAATACCAATGGGTGTGGAGGGAAAGATTGCTAGATAAGAAGCTGTCTTGGACAAATAGGTAAATAAATACTGCAGCAAACCAAGTAGGAAGGTAGGGCAGACAAGTAAATGGGCAAGTCTTCCCACCTGACTTACTTGTAGGTAGGACAAATGATCTTGTAGGCAAGTAGAATAGTAGGTAGGACAAATGGCATAACTGGGGGATTAGATGTTATGTAAAAAGGTTGGATGGATAGGTAAATACTGTACGTACGTAATAGGACAGAGATGTCAAATTAGCTAAAATTAGCAGTAGCATAGATAGACTGGACAGTGGCTAAAATCAGTAACGACTGAAAGACTTTGAAGAAAAGGAAAGCACTATAGTCTATGAAAAGACTAGTAGGTAAGAAGTGGGGAAGTATAGATGGACAGATTAAATGGAGGTCATGGGAAGGTCAGATGAACTGGTTGATGTAGCAGTAGGTAGGCTGGATGGATGGACAGGTAGGCAAGTCAAAAGAAAAGCAAAGTAGGATGCACTCTCAGGTACACGTCTAGCACTGAAGTACTGGCTGGTGATGTATTTAAGCTGCTGACATCATTGATAAAGCTCATCTGATGTTGTTTCTGGTCAGATGAATATAAAATTGATGTTTTCGGCCTTCAAGGAAAACTACCAGTATGCCTGGTGCACACTCAACACGTCATCACTCCGAGAACACTATGACCGAAGTGAAACATGGTCTGGGGCTGCTTTGCGTCTTCGGGACATGGACGACTTGCCGTTATTGATAAAACCATCGATTCTGCTCTTTACGAGAAATTCTCTTTAAGTAGAATTGAGTTGAATATTTTAGTCAGTACCACGAAAGACATCAGGATTGTCACGGAAGATATCCTTATGTGTTTGTGGGATGTTTTGGTGATCTCAAGCACACCACACACAAAAAGAGTATTTAAAAAAAAAAAACAGGATGATTGATTGAACCTCATCGTCTGACATTTCAAAAATCAAGGTTAAAAATCGGCGTGCGGTTAGCGGTTTTACATTTAACATATGTTTTCCATGCATGACAGTCAAGAATCTTACAAATTCAACAGCGAAGACTTTTTACAAACATGGACAAAAGATCTGATAATGACTGCTAAACAGAATCATAAGAGATGATTGGTCAAACACACACAAAATAAAGGGGCAGGGACAGGACAGGTGGAACTAATTAGCATCATGGAAAAAACATTAAAGGAAGAATGTTTCCATTCAATAAGACCAAGTCCAACACGAGAAAAGACAAAATCCCTACGGGACTATGAAAGACTTATGTTTTTCAATTTGTCAGTTTAGGACGCTGCGAAACATGACGTGACATATTTTCCATATTTTCTCCAAAACATGTGACGCAAAGCTTTGTGTGTTTATCTCTACCAGAGAAACGTTCCCGATTGAGGTTTTAAAGCGCACCCATCAGCACACCCAAATACTTCATGCGCAAGTTATGAGTGAGACAAACAATTCGGTGAGCTCACATCTGCATAACAGCTCTGCTTTGTGTGACTTGAATATGACACAAATAAAGAAATAAAACCACTGGTGCTTTTTGACACGTGGCAACACAATGTGAATTTAAACGCTTCCTGCTTCGTTTTCTCACTATCTTTGTATGGGCCGCCATCTTTGTGGAATTTACACACCTGAAATGCCTCCGTAGCTAATAAATACAGGCAATTGATGAAAGACACAGATGACCTATTCTATCGCCCTAACCTCTCTTCTCATGAATAATGTGCCATTGGTGCTTTTAAGTTTTAGAGCAAATGCCACTGGAAAAAATCGTATTCATTTTGACGTGTCAACTTTGGAATTATGGCATCTTATTGGAACTTACCCGCCAATCCGAGAAGGGTTTCGAGAGTAGCAGGTGAAATGAATATTTTTTTCACGCCCCCTCCTGCCCCCACCTTCTGTCAGTCAATCTCCGCTTTAGCCCGGGGAGAGGAAAAAAATCCTGCAGCCGGCCCTGCGTGTCACGTTGTGAACTTTAAGACACTCTAACGTGATGACACAAAACGTCAGCCCATTCTGAGAGTGACGGTCTTTTGGGAGAAAGGGCGAGTGGAAATTGTACCAAATAAACCACTTTCATGCTGACAAAGGCGAGGCCAGTTGGCCCAGAGGTCACCAGCATGGTGCCTGCGGGCACCAGGTAGCCCCCCGCCACCCACACCAAAGACCATATCAACAACCTGTTCTAAAAATAGCTCATCATTGACAGGAAACGTAACCCTGAAATACAGCTTCGCACATTCGCGCTGCCACTGTCCTCTCAAATGAAATTTACAGGGACGACAGAGTACACATTTTGAATTTTTTTTTTTTTGTCTTTAGAAGTAACAATAGCTAGAACATTCATATTTTTCTTCAGCTTATCCGACATGCTGACAACGTTTTGACTCAGCAAGTCATGAGAAGTCACCCCCCCCAAAAAAAAATAAAGAACTAAAAGTTGTGTTACAAGTGTGGCCGACCTTCCTCTGAGCATATGCCAAACCATCTCCATCCAATTTTGGACGTGTCCCGAGGGAGCACTATGAAATGAACGCGGCGTCAAGCGGGACGGAGCATGGTACTAGAAATGCACACAACAAACAAGTGCAGCATGTGAATGTGTTTAACACGGAATGCGGGGATGCGTCACGGGAGATTCACAGCTTCGCTTTGATCAGCAATCGGGGCTTGATTTACAAGGCCTGGATCGAAGTTCGCCACGCTCTTTTATTGGTTGCTCAATTTTTTTTTTTTTTTTTTTTTTTTACTGGAGGTGAGGCTTGAAATGATTCCCCGGTCGAAAAATGTTTGAGAAAGGCGATGAGAAGCAGTGCCAAGGAAGAGCAGTCATGCCTCACAACTCTGAGCTGATGTTGAACGCCTTAAATCATCTTTTATCGCCTCAATGTCCTTTTTCTTTTCTTTTTTTCTTTTTATCTCTAACTTGTACTTCAATAAAAGTGGAGAGATTTCAGTGTGAAAACCTAAACCATTTAAATTTCATATTGTGCAAATGTATGCTAATTAACCACCATATCCGACATAGAAACACCCCATTTAAATACTTCTTTGTTTTTTACATAATGCACAACTCTCATTTATTGTACAATAATCTAATTGTAACATGTATTTGTTACATATGTTGATGCATTTTAATGCTTTAGAAAACATTTATGTCTGAATTTTGGGGGCCTTGGAACGAATTAGGGCATTTACATGGAAAACGCGTCTCAATTTACAAAATCTTCTAGTTAATAAATTTCTTCCAGAACCAATTAATTTCATAAGTAGAGGTACCACTGTATTGTAAAGGAAAATTTTTGACTTGTCCTTTGTCTTTTAAATATACTTTTTACGAAAAAAAAAAAAAACTACCTCAATTTTTGATGGACACCTTTTTATCACTATTCGACATACGATGCAAGATGGCCATCGTAATGTTTGTATGTATAGCTTACTTGAAAGGATGCTTCACCTTCATCATCACGGTGTGTGTATATGTGTGTGTGTGTGTGTGTGTGTGTGTGTGTGTGTGTGTGTGTGTGTGTGTGTGTGTGTGTGTGTGTGTGTGTGTGTGTGTGGACCACAAGTGATGAGGCCATTTGTCCTAGTCACATTTGTCAAACAGATAAACTGGATACCGGATGCCATTGTGCACCTTTCAACACGTCCAAGCGACGACGGCAAATACACACACAGACGCACACACAAACACAACATCGTGTAGAGCAGGCTCACTCACTCACACCCTCCCTGGAGGGTTGTGATTTGCAGCATCTGTGCAGTCAGGGAGGCTGCAGTGAATGAGCAACATGGAAATGTCACTCTTTCAAATGTCATCTGCGCGGAAGTGGAGCTTTACTCGTTTATCCCAAAGTCCATTCACAAAAAAATAAATAAATAAAAGGCCCCGCCCAGCCAGACTCCACTGTTGTGACATCGCATCTCTTTCAGTAGACCAGACTGCATTGTTGTCCACGACTTTCTGACTAACAGCCCCTCCTCCTGAGCGACAACAAAAGGGACGCCGTAGACTAGGCTGGAGACGCGCTTCACCTCCTCCGTTGATGCACTTTTCCAGTCTGACACACACGGGAACTCGGGTGGAGGTGTATGCCTCACATTAGCATGATAGTTCCTTTTATAATACCGCATTTTCCGCACTAAAGGGCGCACCTAAAAGTCTTCCATTTACTTAATAGCTCACAGCGCGCCTTAAAATCCGATGCGCCTTGTGTATGGTCATTACGGTAATATGTCGACCCCCAAAATGGCTCCTTGCTCGGGACATGCAGACAACGCAGAGTTCAAACTTAAGGCGATCGGTTTCGCAGTTGAACACGGAAATAGAGCAGCGGCAAGAAAGTTCAACTTTAACGAGTCAATGTTAGAACTTGCTGTTGCTTAAGTGAACTGTGTCGCTGCTTTTTTTAAATACGTTTTACTGACACCTGATCGTTCTGTTGACGTTTCCTTGTGTGTAGCTCCATCTAGTGGATGCGTTGTAGATTGCGTCTCATAATGCGGTGCGTCCAATGTATGAACAAAATTACAAAATAGGCCATTCATTGAAGGTGCGCTTCATAATTCAGTGCACCTTTTAGTGTGGAAAATACGGTACTT